TTATTTTCTTCCCATTTATTTCTATTGTACCTAACTTTAAATTTTGTTTCATCTGATAAAATACTTTGTCACTATGCCACCTCCCGGATGTTTCCCCAGGTGCGGTCAACTTTTATTTCTTTTTAGCACTCGTCTTCATTATTGACGTGGTGAATAACTTTAGCAGAGCTACATGATAAAGCACAAATTCTTTGCATTTAATTCTCAAAGCCATGAACCCATTCAGTAGCACTCGGGAGCAAACCTCAGCTACATCCACGAGACAGCCAAAGGCAGTCCATACGTACTCGTGTGGAGGCCACATCTCAAGACATGAGTTTGAGATCAAGCGATCATCTATTCACCGAAGGCTTGTAGTGCTCGTGTGGCATATGCTCTGTGGGTCTTCCAAGAACTCAATGTCAGATATGCTCTGTGGGTCTTGCAAGACCTCAATGTCAATGCTTCTTGATACACAAGAAAGCCCAAAGGAAATAAAAATTAGTAATAAGGGAAAGATTTTCTTAGATTTGGGCTTTGGAGAACCACAAACTATTGTAATGACTAAGATTTGTTAACATCTCGAGGAACTAATTTTCACACTTTGGGGAGCAATGCCATCCCAATAAGAATACACAATGGGGAGAACATCAATTTTATTTAAAAAGAAAATTTTGTTTTGCACCAAAGTTCAAATTTCCAAACAAAGATCAGTCAGAGATTCCAATTCTAATGGAATCTTATTAAACAAAAGGAAGCCATCTTTGTCATAAATGTCAACAATGGGATGTAGGTGTGATGAAAATAAATGGCTGTTCAATTTTTGTGTACCGCTGGAGAGTCACCGGAGATCTTTCTATTCCATTTCCTTTTACATAGAACGAAAAGTTGCTGCATTTTCCCTCCCAAAGAAATGGGAAGACCAAGAAAGCCAATATATGTACCTCAGTGTGATCAAACGTAACAAGGAAAGCAAAATCCCCACTGCAAAAGACACGACGAAGGATAATTTAGCTAAATTGAGCCCAGCCAAGGAGCAGATGAGGGGATGCGGCAGAGCAGAAGAAAAGTGGTGGAAGGGACGCAGGTCCAAGGTATCAAACGGACATGGGCTCCAGGAAAAGCAACCACTGCTGGTCCAGGGGTTGGTTTTGGCTTTGCCGGATCCTGCTGTCAAGAGAGTCAAGGGAGACACACCAACCACAAGAGTTTACGCACAGAAAAGGCAAACTCGTGAGANTGTTGCTTGTCTATGGTATAATAGGAGGTTACTTCAAACAGTCTGTGGACGAAGAGAACTGAAGGATCCGATGAATCTTTCCATGAACTGTTTGAAGTACCCTCGTAGTTGTTTTACCCATTTTGTCTTTCTCTGAAGAGCAGCTATATCCCTGACTGTGTTCTAGGGCTGTCCATCTCTTCTCCAGTCTGTCACAATTTTTTTCCGGGTCCACGTTTGGGATATGTCATGTGCTTTGTCTCATGCTGTTCCTGGCAGCCGAGTGGGACATTCCTGGTCCTGGGATGCCTGTGTAACCCCAGGTATCCCAACCCATGGCTGTCTGCAGTTCAGTATGAGAACGGAGCAGAGGGAAGGACTGATCAGTCTGGCTCCTGAGGCATGTTCTTTAAAGGATTTGCTCATATATTTAAGCCCAAATGTTTGTCAAGCTGTTAGGTTTTTGCATTTGTCCTTAAGATACCATTTTCAGAATGATGAATGAAGGAAGCTGAGAGGGTGGTGGGTGTGCCTTGTCCTCATCACACTCCCTCCTTGACCTCACTCAGCTTTGGAAACTCCAAGTGAGCTTTCAGTGAGTGCGGGAGCAGATCTCGTCTTTTCTCTAAGCCCTAGTGCCTGGGATTGGTGAAATTTCCACCAAATGCAGCAGAGAAAAAAGAAAACACTTATTTTTAGGAGAAACAAACATATTTGTGAAGAATCAATTTGCTGTTCAGAATGCACCTCCTTTTCAGACAATGTGTAATATGAAAAACCTTGAAATATTTTGAATTTTCTGAAAACATTTCTTTGAAAGAAGTTGTCAAGACCCCACACTGGGTCTTGGTTACATTAAAGTGTTTTATATTCAGTAACCTCAACGAGTGGGTCTCCCACTGACGGACCCCAAACTGCCTAATGTGGGCTTGTAAAATCTGTCAAGACCTGGATGAAGAAAAGAGATCCCCCAAGAGGAATTCTACTTGTAATATTCCTGACACAACGAGGGAATTGATCCTTCACGGATGGCGTCATGACATTCAGTCAGTGCTGGGGCACTCAGTTTTACGCAGTGTTGGTATCTTGGGAGAATTTAATTGAAAAAAACAATTGTATGCCAAGCAGAGTTGTAACCTAAATGCAAGAAATTTGGCCATTTCTATCTGTGTAACCAAGAACCCAGTACACCAGATTTTGTCCCATTTCTTACAATCTGAGTTTTCGAGCTACTGTTGGCTCTTAGAACTTCTTCACAGGCCTTGATGCTCAGTTTTGTCTATTGAGCAAATGAGCGTCATCTGATGGGTGCCGTCTCCTTCCAGTGGAATCAGAACTCCCCAATGGTTGACCACATCCACAGTGAGCTCCTGGTTTTCTTCACCGGCCCCTGTGGTGTAGACACGTGGGCAGAGTTGGCACTGCATTTCCTGGTATTTGCTGTGCTTCTACGCCTGGCCTGTCATCCCTGGGGCCTTGTGCTCTACAGCATGGGACCTTGCCCACTCCAGTGCAGGGCACTGGCAGTCGTGAAGGTGGAGGCTTGGTTGCCTTCAAACTCAGCCGCTTCCAGGTGACGCTGCATCATGATTACCCAAATACATTCATCACCGCTGTAGTCATGACCTGGCTCTTGTCTTTCCCTCTCTCGTCTTACCCAGCCAAACTCTACAATCCAGCGCCTGGTGGGACCTGGAGAGGTGGGCGAGCAGCTGGGTGCTGAAGTGCATTAGATGTCACCCCCAGCTGTGTGATGGCCAGCTCAGCCTTGGTTCTGCAATTCTCTCGACTATGCATAAAGTCGTTAACTCCTGGATAGTAAACGTGATGTGGCTCCAGAGTGTTTTTGGGCAAAGTGACAGTATAGAGTTAACTAGAACAATTTTTTTTACAGTAAATAAAACAATATCCTTTGATGGATGAATGGATAAGGAAACTGTGAGATATACATTTAAATACACCCCCCCCACCGAGCATGGAATACTACTCTGCCACAAAAAAGAATGACATGCTCCCATTTGCAACAACATGGATGATCCTGGAGAAACATATGTTGAGTGAAATAAGCAAAGCACAGAGGGATAAATACCATATGTGCTCACTTATGTAAGGAGCTATGAGAGAAAGAAGGAAGGAAAGAAAGTCCATAGGAGTGCGTTGGACTTGCAGAGGGACAGAGCATTCCATAGGCTACAAAGTGGAGTGAGGGGGTGGGGGAGGGAGAGGGAGTTCGGGCGTCATTGTGTGGGGGACACAGAGGACAAATGCAATTTGTGGTAATGGGCGTGCTGCCAGTAGGAATCTGGCCCTCACATCATGGGCACGAGGGCTGACAATCAGTTTTCTATCTTATGAATATTCATAACCAATAT